TTTGAGGGTTAAAAGCCAGTAATTCCAGATTGGAACAACGTATTTTCATCATTTTTGGGGTGTAGGTAGCTGAGATAGAGTTTTACATAATAAAATGCAAATCATGCAAATGAGGATTTATTTTGCATAATTAAGGAGGAAATTCTATAATTACAGTGTTTTATGTAATAGTTCTTTTATACATGCAATCTATTTAATCTGTGGCAGGAGTAACATCAACAGATACCAATTATGCTAATGATGACCCAATTTGCATAATTAATGTGAAAATTCTGTGACTCCTTATTGGTGAATGATGGGAATTTCATACCTCGTGACTTGTGTAAGATTAACACCACTATACATATATTATGTTAATGTAGATGTCATTTGCATAATTAATGAGGACATCTTGAGATGAAATATGAAAAGACAAGCCCATATTTCATGGAGGTATGAGACCTCGGAACTCTTGTTCTTCTTCTGTTCTTCATTTCTAATTATATTAGCGTGTTCACATACATGGAGAACTTAATTTTATGTGTCTTTTCTCTGATAGTGTGACACGCCTTTTTAAAACCCTTATTTCCGGGGTTTTGAATTTTTGGCATTTTTATGGTGGATTGTGGAGTGTAGGTTTCAGAGTAAATGTATTTGCCAAACATTTAGTTTTTTCAAGGAGTTTCCTTGAGTTTCCTCCATGAAAAATTGAGGTATTGTTTTTGACGTGTCTGTGTGTGTTGTGATCAGCATAACTTCAGAACGCCTTTATGGATTTAGATGATATTTGGTTTGTTGGTAAGTCTTGGAAAGACAAAGATCAAGGTCAAATATGGGCCTCCCGGTGGCTGACCTTGATACGACAGGAGAACTTCCGGTTTTTTTGTATCTTTTGTCCTGAGTATGCTATGGTCTTGACTTTTTGATGTGGGTTTGATCCCCTTATTATCTTGTTCTGGAACTGCAGGGGACTTTATGGTGAATTTTTTAAAGCCTATAAGTCCAGATAAGAACAACTTATTTTCATCATTTTTGGTATGTAGGTAGCTGAAAGAAAAATGTACATAAATGGATGCAAATGATGCAAATCAAGACTTAAGTTGCATAATTAAGGAGACAATTCTATAATTACAGTGTTTATATATAGCACTTTTATACATCTATTTAATCTAACGCAGGTGAAACATCAACAATTACCAATTATGTAAAAGATGACCTAATTTGCATATATTATGTTAAAATGTAGATGTCGTTTGCACAATTAATAAGGACAAAAACTCATATATTTCATGGTGGTATGAGATCTCCAAATTCATGTTGGTATGTGGATAGGTGTTGGGTAGCCAAAGGTCAAGGTTGATTTGGGGCCTCCTGGTGGCTGATCTTGTACTGCAGCAGAACTTCCGGGTTTTGTATCTTTTGTCTTGGACATGCTACAGTCTTGATTTTTGAGTGGTGGATAGCTCTTCCTGCCAGTAATAAGTGGTGTGGGTTTGGTCCCTCTAGCAGCTTGTTCTGGAACTGCAGGGGGTTTCTGGCAAAACCTTTCAAATAAATTCACAAAGGAACAATGAATTTTTATAATCTTTGTTATGTGGTTAGCTTAGACAGAGATCTACATTATTGGATGCAAATTATGCATGAGATGACTTCATTTGCATAATTATAGAGGAAATTCTGTAATGCCAGTGTTTTACATCATGGGACTTTGGTACATGTAATGTTTATAATCTATGGCAGGTGGAATATCACCAGATACCAATTATGCAAATAAGGACCTAATTTTCATAATTGATCTAAAAATTTTAGGACTCCTTAGTGGTAAATGATGGGAATTTGATACTTTGGACATGTGTAAGTTAATAAAAAGTTAACAACATGATGCATATGTTATGTAAATGTTGAGTTCATTTGCATAATTAAAAGAAGAAATTTAAATGTGAAGCCCATATTTCATGGAGGTATGAGATCTCGAAACTCTTGTTTGGGATATGTGGGTGCATTTTTGTGCCATTTCGCTTCACAAATATGTGACATTAGTACATTGTGTACAGTATAATGTACTCGCCTCTGGTGCAGTCAGAAAAATGGACATGTACTAAGAAATGGACATGTACTTAGTGATTTATTCAGGTTTGTGGTAAAAAAAATGCAGTCACCTTCTGTCCCGGGTAGTCTTTTTCCGTTTTGGGGCGCAGGCTGACATGTTGCAATGCCCCACTGATATTCAAACAACTGACTCGAACTCTCTGTCCAAGCTTCCCGCACCAGTGGGTGAAAGGTCATTCCGTCTCGAGAAAAATCTTGCTGTACGTGTCAGCTGACCTTGTATGTAAGCCATGTCAAATCTCGCGAGAGCAGCTGCAGTATGTAAACAACTAACAAAATGATGGTTTGGTCAGGAAAACGCAGATTTGGGTCGTTTTTGCACTGTTTGCTGGTATGTTTACTATAATTAGAATGTTTTAGGAATCATTTTTGATCATGTATGTGACTTGAGGTTTAATCGGCAAATTTACAAGAGGGCGCTTGCCGATAGCATGAGGACGCCCCGCCCTTTTTACCTTGTTCAGAAAAAAAAACACAATATTTTATTTACTAACTAGAGTTCGGAGGTCTCATGCCTTCGACAGTGTGATATTGTTTTGGTGGGTGTTGTGTGTGTGTATAGTGTAAGTTTTTTTATGATTATCGTAGTTATAGTGGTCAGAGAGTATTTTTGTGAACGAAGCAACATAGCATGAAGCAACATAGGAGAGGAGAATTGGCCTCCGATGCGCAGCGAGCCAAACTTCAAAACGGCAAAAACTCCTTTAACTAGAAAGGCCGACATTTGCTCAAGAGCAAATACAGCACATTTCACCCATTCTTCCTCCCCATTCCAAACTTCCCCTAGAAAGGCCAACATTTGCTCAGGAGTAAATGCAGCAAGGCTTCACCACATCCCCAGTACCAAAAATGGACCTATCCCCCTCCCGCGCAAATAGATTGTTCCTAAACCAACCCTGTTCAAACTGTTTCCACAGTTATACCTCCATGCAGCAATGGAATCTTCCAACCCCTTCTGCTTTGGGAACATGTAGAACCCTGGTAGAACCCTGAAGTGTTCTAATTGAACTGTCAGTTGGGGATTCGGGTTTTCAAGCTACAATCGATGTTTTTACTAAAAAAAGGTAAATAAAAGTATTTCAAAGGGTTGAATCTGCAAATTGAACACTATAGTCTAAGCATTTGGTGCCAGGCTACCTTTATGCTGAATTTCGGGTCATTTGGTTTGGTATTAGCGCATAGGAGCCAAAAATGTATTTTTGGTCAAAAAATAGCAAAAAGCGTGAATAAAGTTCTGTGGGATTGTATCAAAGGATCTCCTATACTAAATTTCAGGTCATTCGGTTTTGATATTAGGGCACAGGAGCCGAAATTTCACATTTTTAGTCCGAAAATAGCCAAAAAATCCCTATTTTACACAATTTTGAAGTGGGGTATGTCCAATCTATAATGCTATTCTGTAGACATGTGTCCGAGGCATCCCCATACCAAATTTTCACCCTGGTTATGTTATTGTTATCTTAACCTACAATGTAGTTCGCCCTGGCCTGGGCAATGTTGTTTTAACAAACAAATTTCACCCTGGGTGTGTTTTTTGTTAGCTTAAGCTAGTTTACCTTGGGTAGTGTTGTTAGCTTAACCACCTACATAAATGGACAAAAAGACGTAAAGTGCCTGCACTTAAAGATGTGCACAAAACTACACACTACAGTAACGTATGGACCTCCCACGACGCCCATTTATGAACTTGATCTTGCTATCGTCAACGGTAACTTGCTCAAAAAAATCGTGAACATTCATTTGCTGATTCTCGGATTATCCTGCTAACAACCATAACGACCAACACAAAAGGTTAAATTCAATGACATGGGAACCCCTTACAAGGCCCGTTTCGGAACTTGACGTATTCTCAACGGTAACTTGCCAACTAAAAATAATAGACAACCATTTAATGATTCCCGAGTTATTTAGAGTACAACAAAAACGCAAACACAAAAGGTCAGCTCCAGTCACGTAACAACCCCCCACGAAGCCCATTTTTGGCCTTGACAATGCCCATCACTAAGACACCCTACCAAAAATCGTGAACCTCGGACCATGCCTTCAAAATTTATCTTGCATAATCTGACAAACAGTACCAAAACGATTTTAAAGCCTTCTGTCGAAGGCAATGATTTGCAGTGATTTGTGGATCACGTCTTGGTTTTTTTTGTTTTTGTTTTGCTTG